AAATACATATATTAGCCCTAGCATCAATGGACAAGAATGGAAGAAAATCCTCTACCTTTCTTCTTTAGTTTTGAGCGAAGAAGATGAAGATTTGATCTTTTCAAAACTTGAATCACCCTTTAATCCTTTGTTTTTCCCTTTCTTTCTTCCTCTCTAAGCTTTTTTAGGGTTAGAAATGTTGAAATGGTGCTTAGGGAGGTGTCCTTAAGTATTTATAGTGGAAGGAATGGTGTCTTGTGCACGATTGTGAGAGTCAGAATTCGTAACTGACGTTCAAACTTCATTGGCGTTCGAACGTCCTTAGCTCCCAGTACTTTGGTTTTTCCATCAAACAAAAAGTACTGGAACGCACTGTCGTTCGAACGTCATTCACGTTCGAATGTCATTCCTATTTCTACTGAAACTTCCAATGAAGTTTTGCCCTATTTAGAGGTCGATTTGGAAAATTTTCATGAAATACACTTTTGTAGCTCTAGAAGTCTAATATCTACTATAAAAATTTCAGAATAAATGGACATCAGGATAAAGAGTTATGATCCAAATACTAGGGAGTGTCTAAAATACTTTTTACCCAAATTCTCTCTAAAGTGTGCTTTCATTTCGGAGTACTTCCAAACTTCTACGACATACCCTATTACCTCAACTAACCTTTTTATTTCTACTCTTATAATCTACATAGTTCATGCATACATCATTACATATATTAGCATTTCAAAAATATACTTATGTTGTTATATAAAGATACAAATGTGGGGGTTTACAGAACCCAAACATATATTTTGCTCAAGACTACATTCCAATAATAAAGAAACCGACTCATATATTTCTATCATATAATTATCAAAAAGATTGAAAAAATACATAATTATACCCTAAGTCTCAATAAAAAAAACTCAAGAAGAATCCTTTACCTTGATTCTGTAGTTTTGTGTGAAAACCTAATGTGTTTGATCCGTTCCAACGTGAAAATCCCCCTTAATCTTGCGTTTCTCCTCTTCTTTCTTACTCTCCAAGAATCTCTAGGGTTAGAACTGATGAAATAGGGCAAGGAAAGACATCATTGGGTATTTATAGTATCAAAAAACAATCCAAATTCTGATACTCAGAATTGCGACCTCACGTTCGAACTAGAGGCTTGATGTTCGAACTATTTACCTGACATTTGACATCTTTTTTGCATTTAAACGTTTCTTGATCCCAGTACTTTTGTTTTTCCATTAGAGTTTTGTCAAACACAAAAGTACTGGTACTAACTAACTGTCATTCGAATAGATCCATTCACATTCGAACAGATTCCCATTTTAAGTTGAACTTCCAATGAAATTTTGGCCTATTTAAAGGTCGATTTGAAAAAAATTTGTAAAATACTCTTTTGTATCCCTAGAAGTCTAGTATCTACTGTAAAATTTTTAGATCAAATAGCTATCAGGGTAAAAATATATGATCCAAATACTAAGGCAGTGTCAAATTTCTTCCTACCCGAATTCTATCTAAAATGTGTTTTAACTCAGGAATACTTCCTAACTTCTACTACACACCCTATTACCTCGCCTAACATTTTTATTTCTATCTATATAATTCATGCTTACATCATTACATATATGAGCATTTCAAATTAATTATCTTACTATATAAAGATAAGAATATGGGGGTTTATATAACATGTGTTGGGTGATATGGTAGAATGTTGTTATATGATTCCATGATACAATTGACATTAAGATGAAGTTTATGTGGTTTTGTTATGTGTATGTGGTGTGTTTACATTTCATGTCTTCTAAGTGTTTTGATAAAATGTTTAGGTAAGTTCAAGTATGTTTATTGGATTGTAACCATATGTGACATGCTTGAGAATGTTTATGATAATAGACATGTTCATTATATGATTTATGATATGATGAGCATGATGATATAAATTACATTTGCACATTGCATTTGCATATGCACGGGTTGTACTACATTCTTGGGCATTAACATGAAGGTGAGTTTGTGTGTGTGCATGGATTTGAGTCAATCACTACCTAGATGAGTTGACGGGTGGGCTCGGGAAGGTTGGACTTAGGTCTGGCTAAGTCGCATCATACTTGTATAAATAAATGTGTCGGGATGTAGAAAGAATGAATAGATTGTCCCTCAGGTGCAAGACTCGGCAATGTCGATTACGTGCTTTTTGTTGGTGTAATGAACCCATAAAAGCGTGACGGCGAAAATGGAGTCACAAATGGGATGTCCTGAAGATCCGTTGATGATGTGGTGTTCCATTGGTGAAAGACCATAAATCATCACCCCAAAAAGACCCGGAATTAATTAAATGGTCGTTGGATGTTTAATATCAAAGACGAGGGCTTGGAATATCCAGATTTATACGCATGATATTGCATGTGTTGTGGGAGCCCAATATGGGACTTGGTGTTAGCATTGTAAGCATAAGTTTACAATTCATGGCATAACATGGATTAGTAGCATTGTTCATGTTTATATATGTGAATTGAATGCTTGAAAGGTTTATGATTGCATGACATTTTCATATGTATATAGGTTGGGAAGTGATCTCCATAGGAGATATCCTATTGAGCATGAATCATCCTTTATAGGAATATATTTCGGGTATTGGACAAACTTCTGCTAGAAACCCTCACTTGAGCCCGTATTGATGACAGAATCAGGTTATGACTCTTAACTTATATTTTGTAGACTCTTGTATATATTTACAGTTGACCTTGTATAATTTTTGTAAGCAAAACTTATTTTGTATTAAAACATGTATATGGGACTTTCAGACAGTTATTCTTTTTGTTGAAAGAATGTATACATACATGAAGTTACGATTTGGTATTCAATGCTATATGATTGAATATTGATAATTGGGACCCGATGTGGTCAATGGTTAGGGTGGCACAGGTTGTGTGTGTTGGGTAGAGTTCCTTATACAAGGGAGACTACCCGAAATTTTGTTAAGATAAGGACCCCGATGAATGGGGCATCTCAACGTGTTATCAGATTATGCGGTATTACAAGTTAATCAGGAGGCCCTGGAATCGGGGTGTCACATACTCTATGGCCACTACCTATTAGTCCACAAATATCATCATACTAAGACAATTACAAAAGAATCATTACCGCATTTCAAGTATCAGAAAAAGAATATTTTCGTCATTAAACACGAGCTATAAAATAATAAGTGATTGTTCCATTATGATCAGATTCTTTCGTAGCTATGAATATTAGTTCCTAAGGTTACCCAAGTCGTGAAGGTAAAGAGATAAATTTAGTTCTATTTTCTACTTTCAAAGGTTTAATTTATTGAACAACTTCACATATTAAAAACGCAATGCCCACTATGGCCACAATCAGAAAAATTACAACGATCATTATGCACTTATGTATCGCTGTGAATATTTGGGTGTGTGTATGTACTTAGAGCTATATTTGAAGGTAGAAAGCGATGTATGAATGTCCAGTGGCATGGGGTAGGCTAACAAAGACGCTCGATTATTGAGAAAGTTATATTCTTGACAAAATGTATAAAAAAAAAAAAAAAAAGAACTAGCCCGTGACATCAGAAGAAGAATTTGTTAATAAAAAATCATTGCATGATGAAGCAGTACACTGATGGTTATGGAATGTCGAGACACAAAATTCAATTAGTGTCTGACAAAGAAGGGCGAAGACGAAGTGCGTGTACTGGTTGACGATGCTAAATATTACATGGGAAGATTTCTGAAAAGTGGTGCAGTCATTTTTATTTTGGACATTAATTCCTAGAATTAAAGAAAGAGAGCATGGGTTGGTAAACAATTTCTGGAATGGCAAATAGAGCAAGGCATTTTGAGTAAATAGAGAAATTTAGGGTGAAGAATTAAAGAGGGACGGTGAAGAGAGGAGGTTTGTTCTTGACCAGTTTCTCAAAACGTAGGAGAGAGAAAGACGACTGAAAAGTTTATGAGGTTTAGTCAATTATTAAATATGAAGGATATGGACAATATAGTTGTGTTGTTGGAGGACAAAGGTGGGAAAAAATATTTTTCAGGTATGTTAATATTATAAAGTAGTATATCTATATCTATACTATTTATAAATATAAAATTTTGATTTTCTATTTTGTCTTTAATTATTATAATAAAGTCAATTGTATCCACTTATATACTTTCATCTCATTTTTATTTTTATTTGACTTTTAATTTGTTTTAAACTCTTTTATAAAGGCTTTTAAATTTTCTTGGACTCATTTATTAGTAATATAATTACATACAATCTTCTATATCTATATGAATAAGTAAAGTCCAGTACATGTTAAATTATTATACACATGTAGTTATCAGATTAAATTTCACAGTCAAATATATGTTATATTTTATTTTTTAATATGTAATAATATAATAATATTATAAATGATATAATCAATTTATTTAACAAAATAAAAAATAATAATTCTATAATATAATTAGTTGTGCAAATGCCTAAAATAAATGATAGATTAAATACTCAAAACTTATAGAATAAAATAATAATTTAAAATATGGATTAATTATTCAACATCTAATTTATTATTTAATTTAATTACACATATAATTTATCTTTTATAGAAATTATTATTTAAATTTATTTACGTGCAACGCAAGTCGTGGGTCACTAGTAAGTCTAAAAGAATGGACCAACTCCCAATTTTTTTAAATTTTAAATTAGCCTCTGTCAAAATTTAATATTACAGATAAATAATATAGCTATTACTGTATGTAAAACTATTTCTCTCACACTTAGAGATATGAAATTAAAGGTTGAGCATTATTTTCATCTGTAATTACTGATTGAGTTCTTATATTAAAGTTTGCTAAGATATACTCTCCAAATGCGCATTGTTCTAAACAAAATTTCAGGTAATTGTGCCGCAGTTGAAAGTTGAAACGACGACGCTGCAACTTTGCCTATCCAACTCTGTTAAACCCTGCGGCCTAAACCCTTGATTTTCTTGTTCGAAACCAATCGTTATAGCAGCAAAAATGTCGTCCATAACACTGAAAAGATCATACAGTCGATCATCAATACTCTCCCAAGTTCACAACCTAGGGCTGAATTATATCACCTGCCTATTGTCTTCTGTCTCTGAACCTCAATCTCACCATTTCTCACCTTCAATTCAAAAACAGCCTAAATATGGTAATGGGTATCATTTTCTGAGAGAAAGTGGAACTGGGTTCTCTTCGCTTTTCATGAAAACATTGAAAATCTCATATGGGTCTCACTGGGTTACTTTTCCTACGAATTATTATGTTCGCCAGTTTAGTTCTCATGTCGCATTTGAGCCCTCTACTTCCTATGGTCTTACAGTGGATGGTATCATTGCTAATAATTGGACTATGCTTGATGAGAGTGAGAGTGATTGGAAGAGTCATGCCTCTGCTATTGCTCAATCCATTCATCTTATCAAGAAACGCTTGCAGGTATGTAGACATTTCTATATACCTATAGTTTTAATTTGATTGTCCTTTTCAGAATTTGGGGGTTTTTTCATTTGGCCCTATACAGCTAAACAAGCAACATATTGAAAGCTGTGACTTTTGTGTTTTAGTTGGAGTGATCATCAGTTCAATCTGAAGATCATGTGATTTTACAATGAAACCCAAGTTGCCTGTTCTTACATTAAGACATTCTTACCCATACATGAATTCTAGTTTAACTTAAGTTGCTTAGTGATTTATTTGATCATACATTGGGAAATCAAGTTCCAATTTTGCACATCATTACAGTGATTTTTTGTTTAGACTGAAGTATGATAGTATTGTTATTCTGAGAATTAGATTCTGGTCGTTCATCGTGGCATAGAGTTGTGATTACGTGATAATTTTAGCTATTTCTGCTTTCTGGCTTTTTAAGGGTTGTTTGTTTCTTTTGGGTTATAGTGGAAGAAATTAATAGTGAGGTTGGAGATATTATCAGCTCAGCTGAATAAGCCGGACCTTTGGGATGATCCTGTTCGTGCAGGGAAGATATGCCGTGAACATGGTTCACTTATGGGTAAAATGAAGGAGGTTAAGGGATTTGAGCAAGAATTGCTTGAGCATATCGACATGATCAAGCTTGCTCGTGAAGAGAATGATGCAGACTTGGAATCGGTGGGCCCTCTACTATTTCTTCTCTAGGCATGTATCTATTTCATGTTTAATCCTTCATGTCACTTCGAATTTAAGATTAATTGAACTATGTACTCATGATTATAGCCTTTGTTTGAATTTACTTCTTCATATATTATTTCAACACGTTACACCTTGAACTATTTAATTTTGTGACACTTGCTCTAATCATAAACCGCTGTTAATTTTTTAGCAAAAATAACACAAGTTGCGATCAAGGCAATAGCCCACATAGGCAATTTCACTTAAACAACGAATGATACGCCCAAAGTGTAATGAATTTGATTGGTTAAGGATGCAATGTGTTCAAATCAATTGTTGAGTGAATGAGGTGAAAGCAAATCATGTTCCAAGTGTAAATAATCCTTTAGCTTAATTGAAGAGTAATGCAATTTTAACATTGACCCATTCCTCTTACATTTAATGTTTCTTATATCTAGCACTCTAGAATTTATGATAAACATTCAATTCATGTGCAAAACTGTTAGTTTTGCTTTGGCAATTTCTTTTCCTTCTTGGATCTCTCTCTCTCTCTCTGTCAATTTTTTATGTGAATGATGGGAAGGGAGATTCGAACCTGGGTTTGTTAAGTAGTTTTACAGGCAGGATCAAGAATGGGGTTGTGGTAAACCATATACTCTAAAAAATTAGATATATCATATAGGTAAAACAATTCGATTAGGTGGTTGAGATTGGGAGAAGCATTCATTAAAACAAGGAGGTTCGACACATCTTAGGATAATTAGAACAACTTTACTTGTGGAATTGGTTAAATTGTATTTCAGCATGAAAAGTGATGCTGTATGTTTATCCTGTCTAGATATAGACCGCGAGCTCTTGGTGTTGATGACCCTTTTCATTTATTCACATTCTGAAAGGAAGGCCAATCTGAATATGTTAGTATGTGAATGGATATGGTGTTAGTTTTATTTTTTTGTAACTAAGATACAAGGTGTAATTCATTTAGGCATTTGTATCAAAATACTATATTATTTATGTGATTGGCTGTATGGGTTGGGTTTATTTTATACCAATATATGATGTTTTGAAAACTATTTTGTTGAAGTCGGACCTAAAGTAATGACAAATGCTCATCCGCTCAAACGAAACTTCACGGGTTAAAGTCCCGGGATTACTCTAATGAAAATGAGGATAATGTTGTCTACCACATACATCTCCCAAGCCATGACATTTTTTCTTGTAAAATTTAATATATAAGAGTTCTTCTTTTCATGCCTTCATATGGCTCTCTAACATCGTCTCTCCCCCCAAGCTGAGATTAACACAAAGAGGGTCTCCCCTCTCTCCCTTATGATAAAAGCCTCCTTTCGACATATCTTCTAGCAACGAGTCCTCACTCTTTCTGAGAATGTGTTCTCTTTCTTTTTTTTTTTTTGGTTTCTTGTCCTTTGTTCTCCCCCTTCTTGTGTGCAAATCTAGGTGGTTCTTACCTGATCTGAGTAGATCTCATTTGATATTTTTTGAATAAGTAGATCTCAACCGCAATGGTGTGTAATGTGTAGAGATAATAATGAGAGTGTGGATCATTTATTTTTGCATTGTCCTTTGGTACGAGCATTATAGAACAAGCTTTTTGGGGCTTTGCTTGGGTTGCTCCAAGGAATATGAATTCTATGTTTTGTTTGGATGATGTGGGGTGTGGGTGAAATATAAAATGGAAGACGATTTGGCACAATTTTATCTTTTATTGCTGGACTATTAGAAATAGGACTTAAGATTGTCTTCCTTTTGTCTTTTTGGTGACAAAACTATCTTTTCTCTGGCAATTTTTGTTGTTCCTTTATTCAAAGGGTCCTTTTCATTAAGAGCGTCTTAAACAGGGGACTTCTACCATTTTATTTTCTTTTGTCATTCATAGTTTTTCTGGGTAAATTGGTTGTTTGTGTGTTAGAACTCCCTCACCAGAATTATTTGTAGACTTTGCGTGTGTGTTTAGCCAAACCAAGAAAACCAATCTGTCTTTGCTTCTTAAGAAGGGTGAATGGTTTTGTAGTTACCAAGTGTACTTGCGCCTCAATTGTGTGCTTCACCGAAAGGTAGTACAGTAGGAAAGATATTGAACAAGTGAGATGAGTTACCTGACTTATGACTTTGTTTTGTCTCACTAGTTCCTGTTGGTGTCAATGGAGCCATTCAATAAAATGGTGGCCATCTCACATACGATAACAGTTTTGAATTTCAGAAATTAACAGTTTTGAATTTCATTCTTGCTGTCAGACCTAAATGATGACATACTAGGTATTACAATGAGCCCCTGTTTTCCTTAGTGTCTCCATTTTAAGTGATGAGTTCAGTTTATCAGTTCACGTGTCGCGTTAAGTGCAATTTGACCCTCCAGAGTTAAGGGAACATCTGAAAACACCTCCAGCTTGCCAATTGTTAATGCATGAGTGCAATTATTTTTATCATGTTTTTTTTTTCAAGGATGCAATATGTTTAGTTAGTGATTTAAGTTTCACTGTGTTAATGTTTTTCACCAAAGACATTCAAATGTCTTGTTTAAGATGAATAAGTCTAGTTTGCAATTACGTTAGTGGTACAACAGTCATATGACTGGAAACAATCTTCAGTACAAACACATCAACTACATTCATGAGACATTTGTATAAAAGGTGTTGTGGTTTGTTGCACTAAACAAACTCGTGAGCTTAGATGGGGTGTGGGAATTGAAAGAAATAACCAACTAAAGTATGTGACTCTGCCATAGATTGGGAGAGTTGTGAACTATGAGATATAAACAATTTCCGCAACTTTGATGTGTGATGCACAAGGATCAAAATATCGTTTCGAAACAGCCGAAACGTCCGAAACGTTTCTGTTCCCAGGAGACCGAAACGAAACAGTGATAGAATCGAAATTTTGATATTTCGAAGTATTCCATAATGTTTTTAAATGTATTATAATATTTCAATACATTTGCACAATTGTTTTAGAATGTTTCAAGATATTTTAAGATATTTTGATATATTTCCGTCAATGTTTTAAAAAAATAATTATTAAATATTTTATTTTTTTCATTAAGTTTTTGAAACGGGTCGAAACATTTCCGAAACACGTCGAAACGTTTCCATTTCTTAGATGACCAAAACAATACACCGAAACGATATTTTGATCCTTGGTGATGCATGATCTTTGAATATCCAGCATATGATATATTGTGGTTTGTTGCACTAAACAAACTCGTGGGTCATTCTTTCCATTGCAGGAATCTTTGAAAGCTTTACTCAGAATGAGAAGAAGTACAAAAGAAAAAGAGCTTGAGGCGTTGTTAGCTGGGGAGCATGATTCCAGCTCTTGTTTCATAGAGGTTGCTTTCAATTACAATTTCAATTTTTTTCTTATGCACACCTTTATCCTTGCCTTGTTCTTGCTATTGTTCCATAGCAGTTATGTTCACTTACAATTTTGACTGCTGTCTACTGCGTAATTTTATTCTTGCTTAAATCTTCTGTTGCCTCCTGAATTTAGAATCATCTGATTGCCCAGTTGTCTAATGGTATTTTCCCTTCCTCATCTTGATATGACAAAGTATGGATCTGGGAATCAATCCCTGTGGTAACATTAGCACAAGTTTTATAGGTTCAAGCTGGAGCTGGCGGCACTGAGAGCATGGACTGGGCTTCCATGGTCATGCAGATGTATAAATTGTGGGCTCAACACCGTGGATATGGAGTTACTGTAGTGGACGAAATGTCTGGTGATATTGCAGGAATCAAGGTCCATATTCTTATGCATGATTGTACATAATGTAGGTCAGCATAAAGCCACTTAATTTCACATATTAAGTGTATAACATTCCTGCTAAAGAATCTCCTCTCTCACTCGGTGGCTTTGTGCTCCCTTAGTGTTTGACAAAAAAAACTGTAGGGTGAACAAGGCATGCTCTCTACGAGGAAGAGGATGTGAAATTTCTCCAAAATCAAATGCCATATGGTGTTGCTGACTTTGAAACTTGGATTTCTTTTTTATTATTGTGTTTTTGGAAACGGCCTTTGTTCCCTGATCTCTAATTTTTTTTTCTAGAGGGCTACAATCAAGGTGGATGGTGAATATGCATTTGGATATGCAAAGGCAGAAGTTGGGGTGCACAGGTTGGTACGCATCTCACCATTCGATAGCGGAAAACGCCGACATACTTCATTTGCTGCAGTTGCTGTGATTCCAATATTGGGCGATGTATCTTCCCGTGTTCAAATTAGTGAATCTGATCTCCGGATTGAGCGATTCAGAGCTGGGGGAGCTGGCGGCCAGCACGTTAACACAACCGAGAGTGCTGTGAGGATAACTCACATTCCTACAGGAGTCACTGCCACTTGCCAAAATGAAAGGTATGCTATCTTTTTCATTCTTTGTGATGCAAAGGAATTAGTTTCCTTTTCCTTGGGAGTTTTTAAGTTTTAACCGTGGTGTAACTACAGGTCACAACATCAAAACAAGGCTTCTGCCATGGCCGTGCTTCAATCCCGTGTAGACCAGCTGGAGATGGCTCGCCAGGCTCAGATGAACGCGCAACATACACAGTCCCTCACTGAAATTAGTTGGGGCAACCAAATACGCACTTATGTACTCCATGTATGGGGCAGTTCAAATTTCATGAAAATCACATGTATTACGGACTATACAGCCGCGCTGACATTTTTGTCCCTTTTTTTTCAGCCTTACCGCATGGTCAAGGATCTTCGTACTAACTATGAGGTTTCCGACCCTGATTCTGTCCTCGAAGGTGATCTCGATGGCTTTATCTTAAGCTTTTTGTCAGCATCCTTGGATAAAGATGAAGATTACCTGTGACGTAAGCTCAGATTTCAGTGGAACCTTGTTGAGTTACTGAAAATGCCGCACCCTGTAAATCTTAATTGTGACCAAGTGAATGCTCAAGTTCCCTTTTCCGAGTCTCAGAATTTGATTTATGATGGTACAAGTTCTACAAAATCTTTATACGACAAGATCATTTTTTTTGTATTTCACTATAGAACGCGTAGCACTTGATGGAGAAAGAAGGAAATATTCTTTAACCAAAAATTTCTTAATGGCCGTGATGGACTATCGATTCTTTCGAATAACTTACTGCCTTTTTGAAAGGGAAATAAGTTACTGTCAGTCATGGTGTAAATTATACTTGTATTGCTGAATCAATTCCATTACTGCTCAATTTTGGTCTTGCATTACTCGAGGTTCGGTGACAGATCCTTTCATGCTATGAAGAAAATATGACATTAATGTTCTAACAATTTGGAGAATAGTAGGTTTGAACCCGGTCAGGATCTAAGCTGGAGGAGTTGCTATAATTCTCCAGGTTATAGCCAGCCTTCAAAGCTGTTACCTATATTTTCCTGTACAGTTGGAGGTTAACTTTGTGAAGACTGTATTTAGGAATGACTATACTCTCTCTCTCTCTCTCTCTCTCTCTCTCTCTCTCTCTCTCTCGTGTGTTTTCTGGATGTAAACTCGGACCAAGTTAGCTACAAGTACTTACCCAAAAAAAAAAAAAAAAGTTAGCTACAAGTTTTAATTTATCTGTCTCTTTACCTTATGACCCTAGTTCTATTTCGGCAGCTAGTTTTACTCGTGACTATGACTTAGGTTATACATAAAAATGCAAGATTTGAAGTCAAACCTAAGCCCTAGATCAGCTAAGAATTGGAAACAACACTAGAATATCTACATTCAGACGCACCGCTATACTCTGTTACAGAGCAACAAATGGTCAAAAGTTTTTTTTCCCTGCTTGAAGAGGGAAGAAAGGGACAAATTATACACAAAAGTATGATGGACTAAGCAGATAACTTTCAACAAAACACGGATAAACGAAAACTTATTTCAACTACTTAAACCTCTAAATATAAAACAAAATTGGAGACAAAAAAATTAAATAAAACGTTAAAAGGCAAAAAAAAAAAAAAAAAAAAAAAGACAAATAAACACGTGACTATTTAGGCCTTGGATCAAGAATTAAACTGGTAAATATAAAAACCAAATTTGATATAAACAAGTTAGCAATTGGTGGCGGGAGAGAAGAAGAAAAACAGACAGAATCAAGCCTTGGATCAAGAAAAATGTATTCCAGCCTTATTAAACAGAGAGAGGAGGTGCATAAAATCTTCTTGTGTGAACTTGGAAGATCTCTTGCCTTCAAAATCTTCTTGCTTTAAGACACTCAGGACCTTATCTTTGAAGGCAAACCCTTTGGTGTTACCATCCTCCGTCTCCATGTCGTCATCATCACCTTCATCGTCAACTTCCATCCTCAAGTCTGCAAGTGTATCTCCCAAAGCCGCTACAGCCATTGCCATCTCTATATCATCTGATGATTCTTTCGATGAGAGCTGGAATGCTTGCAAGGTTGTATAGTTCTTCTCCAGCAATGATAGTACAGCCTTCTTTCTAAAAATGGAACCAAGAGTTTTGTTCTTCCTATTGAAGCAAATTCGAACCAACCCATCCCATTCATTAAGATTCACTTTTGGTAGTGGTTTTCTTGGCTCGATTCTAACTACGGAAGAATCAACTTTTGGTGGAGGCCGAAAGTTGTTCCTGCCAACTTTCAGCAAATGGGAAATACGAGCCAACAATTGGGTGTTCACAGAAAGGCGGCAGTAGAGAGAGTCCCCAGGCTGAGCAACTAATCTCATGGCAAATTCCTTTTGGAACATGATCACCGCACATCTGAATAATGGTCGATGAGACAACAGTTTGAATGTGAGAGGAGAAGAGATTTGATACGGGATATTTGCCACACAAATATCAAAATATGGAAGATCACACTTAAGCACGTCTCCTTGGATAACCTGCACACACCAACATTGCGTTAGACACTGAATTTTACTTGGATTGAATACTGCAAACTCACATATTTACCAGCTTGACAATGATGTCCGTGAAGCAGTTGTTAGCCATGTTAGTATGATTGCTTAATGGAACAACAGCAATAGAATAACAATGTGCTTCAGAGAATGAAATCTTTGCTTTTATGTTCTTGAAACTCATGTTTAGGTCCTAAAAAGATAAATCCAGACCATCTAAAACTTAGTAATGAAGAAACACATTATTATTTTGGAGCATCTGTGATTTCACTAAGCATCTAAAAACGCTGGACTTTTTGAGCATGCTAGGACTTCCCACTGCAACTATGGATGACCCTTCCTAGTTCAGTCATAAAGAATTTTTTGACAACAGCTCCCAAAGCCATCAGAACGTACATGAATATGCATGTATGCATATATGTTACTGTCTGTGTATCAAAATACAAAAATAAAAAAAAAATGACTTCACCCACATCATAACTAGGTTAGATATAAAATAAGCATGACACACGAGAAATTTATGTACAATTATGCCCCTACTGAGTCCTCAAAACCAATAACATGCACACCCAAAGAAAGTCAAATCACTAATTTATGATGATATAAAATCTTATTCTATAGGTTTGCAAGAAGAACAAGAACATGAAATAAAAAACCAGTTTTTTATGATCTACATCCATAAATTTATTTTTCTTTCTAGTTTTCAGAGATGGGGATATTGATTATCCATTTTTTGCCTATCAACCGCCAGCCCTTGACCAACTGCAGAACGTGATGATCAGAGGGCCACTTTACATCTTCCTCTCATAACTTATTTGTCTCACATCACACACAGTCAGCCCCCAGATTAAGAATTCATAAAGCTTTCATGATTTGGAAAATTACAAACACACACAAAAATTATGATCACAAGAACTTATTAAAGCACCCATTTGTTTCAGCTGAAGAGTTTTAGATTTTAATCCAAAGAGAAAGACGTCACAAACCCAATACCAATTTTGTTGGTCCCTGAGTTCAAGTCTCGTTAAGGGCTAACACCAGAGAGTTTCCCAGAATAAACAATAAACAACAAATTAAACGTTCTACAAGCCCAATTCAGGTTCTATTTTCCAAGAAAATAAAACTTAGATTAAACTGTGTCAAGTAAATTCCTGAACTTTTAGACTCAATGAGGTTCTTACGCCTTACTCACACGTCACATCTATGATTTTAACTATCCTAGAACAATGGATATATGATGTGCATGTGAGGTTTTTGATAAAGTTAAAACACAACAAATTTGGACGGAATAACTATACTGAGGATTAAATTGACACAGAAATTAGACTTAATGAACACAAATGACATAGTTTAAGAGGCTATCTCTGTAGTTAACTCAAAAACATACATTCAATCGATCAGAGAAGGGAGTCGCCTGAAACCTCCGCTGCAATTCAAGCACCATACGAGGATCCAACTCAACGGCAATCACAGACTTGCCCACTTCCAAAAGCTTCTTCGTAAGATTACCCGTGCCCGGACCGATCTCGAGAATGACATCGGTGCTCTTGATGCCTGATTTCTGGATGATGGTGTCTATCAGAAGTGGGTTCTTCAGTATGTGCTGACCTTTTGACTTGTGGAACGGTATGCCTCCCTGGTAGTGACGCTGTGGCTTTTCCTTCCTGATTTTGCCACCCGCCATGCTTGGGCGGTGTGTCTGTGAAGGGGCTAGGGTTTTTTTTCTTTCAGTGGAGGTCGATAGGGTTTAAGGGTGAATAAAAAATAAAGTCTAAATAACATATTTAAATATTAAATAAATAAAAATAGGATAAAAACATGCCACATTATTTAATTTTATTTTTCGGCCAGTCTAATATTATTCAATGTATTGTGAATGAAAGGAGGAAAAAAGGAATATACTCCTAATTTTTTTTTCACCATTTTTTACATATTATTAGGAGTAATACTAAATTTATCAAAAGTGTATGTCAAATATCAAATCTTTTCATCCAAATTATGTAGGAGATTCAATATTATATTAAATAAAAAGGGCACCTACATTACTCTTTTATTAGAGAGGAATTCATTTATCTACGGTGTTTATTTATGCAAAAAGGAACCATAGGTCTATATTCGGACACTTTTTAGTATAGTTTTAAAACACGGCTCGGACATCCCGACAAAGAAACTGGGTCAATGAATCACTGGTTCAATCGTTGGGTCACTGGTCGGACCAGTAATATAATAAAAAATTAAAAAATAATTATAAATATTAATAAATAGGCTAAAAAATCACAATAATTATAAAAATAACATCAAACATGTAAAGTTAAGTAAAGAAAAATTATCAAACATGTATCCAATTTCAATGTATTCAATTTACAATACAATTTGTAAAGTTAAGTAGAGAAAAATACATCTATTAAAGTTTAACTGAATTCAAGGCTCCAACTCTAAATCCAATTCTTCGACAATGCAACAATATAAACATAATCTATGTAATTTGCACTCTTCAAAGTTCAAACTTCAAATTTAAACTATAGTAAGCAAGACACATGAAAACAAAATGAAACACATGAGCATAACATAAGAACTCAAATAACCGAAACTGAAAATAAATTATTCAACCACTGCCTAGTTCCACTTGAATATACAAATATTACCACTATTTATCAATTAAGTGATTAACTAATCAATAACCCAATTATATATAATGAACAATAAGAATCTAAAATAAGCCACAAGTTCAATACCACAATTCATAATGCTCTTACTGCAAGAAACAATCCACAAGTTCACAATCTTGCAGATTATTTTAAAAGATAATAGCTTCTACAAATCAAATTTCATCATAGCTAATAAAATAATCAAACACTTAATTCAGAATTCTGAAAATCAAATAGATACAAATTAAGAACATTAGGGACCAAATAGACATATTTGATTAATTGAGATCGTCATTCTCTTTCCAAATGAGATCTCTCAACAAATAGAAATTATTTATGATTACTACTTGACACCTTATCTCGTCTTTACAAAAGTCATAACCTAAGTGATGAAGAACTTTCCCAGAAAGATAGAGCCACCGACTTCCTTGACTCGGGTCAATCAGAAACCACTACTAAATTTTCCAGGCAAATAAGAAAAGGAAAAAGTGAGAGATAGAGAGTGTTTTCTATGGTGGAGTCAATAGTCAAGGCATCCACACCACATTCGCACTAAATTAAATTAGAAGAAGCCTAACATCTTTTTCACAAACTAATACATCACTAATATTTTAATTTCTTCAGTCTGGCTAAAAAATGTTGATGATTCATGTCAATTGCAGCACAATATATAGGAAAAAGCAGCAAAATGTTGGTGGACCTTGTTGCTCGGGTGCGAGTCGATGATGGTCAGTTGGTGGAGGCCTTGATGGTAACTCGATGGAGTCTGATCTGATGGATAGAGGACAAGATTAGACCATTGGTGCTGGCTGGAGGGTGGACTGGAGTTGATGTTTCCTGCGTGCTGTTGGAGGTTGGAATAGGTTGCTGGAGTCGCTGCAGTGCTGCCTGCTGGGGGTGGAGGCTGGAGTCGCTGATCTGGTCTGGTCCGTCTAAAGCGATTTAGGGCAAACACACAAAATGCTCAAAAAGTGCAAAAAATTTGAGATTTGTACAAATTTAATTAAATAGTCCAGTTTGGTTCAACTCGTCCGTTTCGCACGAGTTCAGCGGTTTGATCCCAGTTTCTATGCACAAATGATCTTTTACTCGAACCGGCCCGATTTAAGCACCAATTCACCGGGTCAACCCTTCGGGTCGGCCCAGGTTTTAAAATACTGCTTTTTAGGCTTTTGATCTAACTTGGACACTTTTAAATCAAAAGTCCATTTAAAAAAAAAAAGCTTGACAAAAATACCTTTAATAAATGAGGTTATTTAAAAACATTCACTATCATCTCATTCTTCTATTTATTATCACTATCATTATTATCTCACCGTCACCACTACCATTCGCCATCACTGCCCACCACCATTACCCACGTAAAATTTCATACAAAATTTAAAAATGGATGACAGGATATTAAGATTATTTCTAAAATAATAATAGAAACTTTGAATCATTGTTAAAAGATTTATCATGAAATTTGAGTTTCATGTGAATTGACTTTTGGATCAAGTTTAGTTTCGGAGGTATTTAACTTTGAGAAGGGGGTTAGACAACTTTCTAATTATTTTTTGGTTAAAATAAGACTACCATTGAATCTAGAATGACAAGAAACCTTGAGAGATGTGATATGAGATATATTAAAAGTTTAGAAATATTCCGGAGTTGAAACGCATGTTGAGATAATTCGGGTGAATGAAATTTGACATTATCTTAGTATCTGGTCCATAAATTTATACCCTAAAGTCTGATTGTTATAATTTTTTTACAGTAGATATTAGATTTCAGGGGCTACAAAAGTATATTTCATGAAAATTTTCTAAATCGATTTATAAATGGGTAAAAACTGCCTTGGAAGTTCAAGTAGAAACGAGTTTCATGTTCAAACATGAATTGACGTTTGAACGTGGATTAGATGCAGAATCTCAAGTTTGACAGAACCTGAGATACTGGAAGCAAATTTTGTTTGAACGCCAATCTCTATTTAAATGCCAATGTTCATTCGTACATGGATGCACAATCTCCAACGAACATTTTTCAAGTTTTTATCTGCTTTTTACCCTATAAATACCCCCAAAGACATTTTTTTAGGTTTTTTTTAGTAGCTTTCAACTCTAGGAGGCTAAGGAGAATTCATAGAACGATGAGGAGAAAAGATTCTGAAGGATTTACGTGGGGATAATCATAATCAAACACGTTAGAATCAAGATTCAAGGAGATTAAGGTATGAGATTCTTCTTGAATTCATTCATTGAGACTTAGGTATACTATATAGGTATGTTTTTAGTCTTCTTGATGAATATATGTGTCACACCCCATCCCGAGAACCCCTATTTGATTTTTCAAAGATGGAAATGTAATTCAACACGTGGCGCTACCGGCGTTTATAATGCAGTAATGAATTTAAAAAAAAACAATAATGTCACCTAATGCCACAACCAAAATATAAACTATATAACAGGATACACAACAATATCATTTTTTTTGCCAAAATAAAGGATTAGGGATTCCATCTTTTTACAACAAACAACAGGAAAAACACACTCTTGTACAATATGTACATAATCAGATTTCTTTAGTTTTTCCTCCATCTCTACCATGCTAGTATAGTAGTGGACCTCACACTGACTTCAGCATCCTGAAACCAATAATTTTCTTGAGTGTATTGCGTATCATAATAAATTGAGATATTAAAAATATGGATCGAATATCATTTCACCAAAATATGCTCACAATCAGAGGAGAACGTCAAAATTAAAGTGTTTTCAACTCACTTGGAAATCTCATAATCTCTATCAGTATAACAACATAATAAATAGTCCACATGTGCTATGAGTCAACAACAACATTTAAGTAATGTCAGACAATCAACAACATTTAAGCAATGTCAAGCTGTCTCATGACAAATGCGCAGTGTCCAAATCAACAACATGTAAGCCATGTCAAGCTATCAACAACTCTAGCACAGTGGATACTACTCAAATCACAAGTTTTTCAACAAATCACAAGCTTCTCAACAAAACATATTTGATCCATAATTTAAGCAACTCAACTCAAATCAACTCGGCAAAATTGATTTCTCACATATAAGAGAATAAACTTGATATATCATATACTTTTACTAGTAATTGCCCGTGCCTGAAGGCATGGCGTAACGAAATCAAGTTAGTGTCATGCAACCTAAAATTTGAAGAATCCTACATTACCTAAAGACTCTTTACAACCTAAAACAACATGTCAATTTGAAATCAAGGTAGTCCATACAAATATCAAGAAATTTTCTCTAAAAATAAGAACCCGTAAAAATGTAACCCTGTCTACAGAACTTACAATCATCATAATTCACTATACCACCACAATAATCAATACATACAGAATCATCAACACATATCTAACCACCAAAACATCAAGCTAATCTCTACTAGTTTTAAGAAATTTGGGCAGAGTTTCCTCTAAAAATATAACTCTAAAAAAATCTAAACCTGTCTATAAAACTTACAATAATTCACCATACCACCACAATAATCAATACATACCCAATCATTAACACATATCCAACCACAAAAACATCTAGCTAATCCCTACTAATTTCAAGAAATTTGGACAGAGTTTCCTCTAAAAATAGAAGTCCAAAAAAATCTAAATCTGTATATAAAACTTACAATAATTCAACATACTACCACAATAATCAATACATACCCAATCATCAACACATATCCAACCACCAAAACATCAAGCTAATCCTTACTAATTTCAAGAAATTTGGATAGAGTTTCATCTAAAAATAGAAGCCCAAAAAAATCTAAATCTGTTTATAAAACTTACAATTATACATATCACACAATCATCATAACCATGTTTATTCAAACTACAAAACAAAACCATCATAACCATGTATAATTAGTTAACTGTACAAAAAATATAACACAAAAAATACACACATGCACAAATAGAAAAACACCTTCAACTTCAACTTCATCTTCATATCCTTCCATGTATAGCTGAAAACATTTGAAATATAATCAATTATCGAAATATGTCAGGAAAAATAAAACAATTGTAAATCCGAAACATAGGGATAACCCGTACCTGAAGGTAC